GAGGGGGTCTACCTGGGGGGGACCTGGTACCAGGAAGAGTGGGGGTGGGGGGAGGGACGGAGTGCGGTAGGGGAAGAGGCGGTAGTAGGGGACCGACTCGTCAAACGTGACGTCCTGGGAGGACAGAACACGGCGAGAGGTGGGGTGGTAAAACTGCCACCCAGGCGCGTCAGGGGGGAACCCCAGGAAGACGCAAGGAGCAGCACGAGGGGATAGTTTGTCCGCAGACAGGTCGCGGACAAACGCCCGAGATCCCCAGACCCGGAACGCCGACGCATCGCCAACCTTCCCCGTCCACAGCAAGGCTGGGGAGGTCTCCGGCCTGGAGACCCTGGGGTGGAGGTTGATCTGATGCGCCGCGTACCTCACCGCAAACGGCCACAGAAAATGGGGGGCAGCCGCATGCATCATAGACGTACGAGCGACGTCCATGACCATGCCAATGCGGCGCTCAGCAATCCCATTTTGCTGCGGTGAGTCCGGAAGCATGAAGGTCTTACGGATGCCCCGTGCACGACAGTAGGCACGCAGAAGGCCAGAGGAGAACTCTCCGCCTCTGTCCGAGTGCAGACGCAGAACAGGAAAGTCCGAGCCGAAGCTCTGCCTGAGCTGGAGACGAGCTGCGCGGATCCAGTCGATCAGCACCTCAGTGACATCACCCTTGCTGCGCAAGGGGAAGACTGTGGTGTAACGCGAGTAGTCGTCAACAACGAGCAGGAAGTAGCGCTCGTGACCCTGTCCACGGACGCGGGCTGGGCCCCACACGTCCATGTGAAGTGTCTGCAACGGGGCCTCTGTCGAAGGAAACTGGGAGGAGTGAGGGGCAGCACGCTGGCGCCCCTCGACACAGGGGACACAGGCAGGGCCAGGGCCCTGAGGAAGGGGAGGGAGGGACCGGGGGAGACCGGACACAAGAAGACGGGAGGCCATACCTCTGAGCCGAAGCAGAGAGGGGTGGCCAAGGCGGTGGTGCCAGAGGAGAGTCTCGTGAGACAGGAGACGACACGAACAGGGGGCAGACTCAGGACCAGACCTGGACGCCGCAGCAAACACCTGACCCGACGTAACTACCCTACCAGACTCAGCAACTGGAGGAGACGCAGTGGTCAGAGTGTACAGGCTCGACCCCGGCTGACGGGTGAACGTAGCCAGGTGTCGGCCTGTGCCAGCCTCTGTACAGTGGGTCACTCGCTGACGTGCAGGAGTGAACTGGTGGACACCCGCATCCTGTAGGTCAGCACCACTCACCAGGTTCGTCGAGAACGAGGGGAGGTAGAGACCAGACAGGGTGCCAGAGGGAGCCGCCGGACACGGGAGGACTGTGGAGAAACGAGACAGGACCGGACCCCCAGAGGGGTCAGCCAGAGACACCGCAACCGGCCGACTAAGCGGCGTGAGTGTGGTGCGGTCCCGAAAGAAGGAGCGAGACGCCCCAGAGTCAAGAGTGAAGGTGAGGGAGGCCGAAGCCGACGCGGTACCTGAGAGAGCAGACTCACCAGTACCTGAGGACGCAGACACACCAGCACCTAGAGCAGCAGCGTCGTAAGCACCTAGGGCAGCAGCCTCACCAGTACCTAGAGCAGCAGTCTCAATGCCCGGATCGGGCTGGAAACACCGGTAACAGTCACCCTCATCACTAATAGACACAGCATACATGGCAGAGAGAATAGCATCAAAGTCCAGATCAAAGATGGCAACCCCCGCCCTAGACAGCTCGTCCCAGCGAGGGATCTCGGAGGCCTCCGGGAACTGGTGACGCCATGCGTCCGTCAGGCGGCCAAAGCAGCGCGGAGTGGGGTGCGCACCCCCACACTGCTCACCCGCACGGTCGCCGGTGCGCAGGACGTAGGTACACGGACCAAAACCCCCACCCCGCTGGCGTGCAGTGTACCACTCACGGAGCTGCTGAGGGGACAGGGTCGCACGACCACGCTGCTGCTGCTGGCGCGAGCCACCACCGGAGCCACTCCTCTGCAAAGACCCGCGAACAGCTCCACCGCCACCCCCACCGCCTCCACCGCCTCCGCTGCCTCCACTGCCGCCGCCGCCTCCACCGCCTCCTCCACCGCCGCCTCCTCCGCCACCTCCGCTACCACCGCCACCGCCGCCGCGGCCTCCGCCTCCACTGCCGCCACCGAACCCCCCACCCCCACCTCCACCTCCACCGCTACCCCCACTCCCCCCACTGCCTCCACCTCCACCTCCACCGCCCGCTCCTCCAGCTCCCTTGCCCCCCTTGCCCTTGCCAGGGCGGCGTCTCCCGCTAAGGGCAGACGCCGCACCGACCGACTCAAGACCAAGGAGGTCGGCCGAAGCAGCAGAGGCAACAGAGGGCAGCAGGGGGGAGGGAGAACACCCCTCAAAGATGGGGGTGCGCGGGTCACCTCGAGAGGCTCCTACAGCGACTATGCTCTTTTCTATCGCGAGGAGGGCCTTCTCGAGGAGGTCTACAGTGAGTGTGGTGGGACAGACTGAGAGAAAGTGGTCGGCGCGCCGCAGCCGCTAGGGCGGGAAAAGGGCGGCGCGCCGCAGCCGCTAGGGCGGCTCGACGCGACCGTAAGGGCGGCGCGACGGGCCGCTAAAAAAAAAAAGGCAGTCGCGACTCGAGGCGCGCTTCGGTGGGCCCAAGGAACAGTCCCTAGGAGGGGACCTGCTCTGATACCATGTGAGAATGAGAACGAGAATGAATGGACTATGAAAAAGAAGTGAGTACAAATATGAAACCCTAATTGGTTGTACCCCCTATGGGATACCCCACTATAGCCTACACAACAGCATAAGCTATAATGTTCTGACACGGGGCATCGCAAGAGCGAATGCCCAGAGGAGCAGAGACGCCGCGGAGCAGAGCAGGGAAGGAAGTCTCAGAGGCAGGGAAACGCCAGCAGTCAGTATAAAATGGGATACCAGCATCAATCATCAGCGACCGCGACACGAAATTCACCAGCAATTTCTGGCGGAACCAGTGGCAGCAGTTCGGCACGCGACTACAGTTCAGTTCTTCGTACCACCTCGAGACCGACGGACAGACAGAACGGACAAACCAGACCATGGAGCAACTCATCCGAGCCACGTGCGATGACTCGACCACCTGGGAACGGCAACTGCACCCATGACTCCGAATCCCGACAACCCGATGCCACGCGCACAACAGTTTGCAAAAAATTTACAAGCAGCACGGACCCGAGCAGCAGAAGCAATAAAAAAAATCAAACGTCATCACTAAGCGCAACGCCGATCGCCACCGCCGCCCCGTCACTTACTAACCAGACGACCTGGTATTACTCGACACTCAAAACCTCCGCCTACCCATCACTCCAAAACTCCGCCCCCGTTATTGCGTGCCATTTCGCATCAGCCACATGATCACACCCGTCACCGCCCACCTCCTCCTCCCTGCTGGCTGGTACGTCAGCCCGTCATTCCACGTCAGCCTGCTTCGCCCATATATCCCATCCACCAGCCAACTGCCTCGCAACCGCCCCGCCAGCATGACACGACCACCAACAGAGCCAATCATCATGCCCGAAAAAATACTGAGCCACAGAGTACGTGACCCACGGGGAGCCCGCAGAATCGAATTCCTGGTCCGCTGGAAAGACCGCACGCCCACCGAAGACAACTGGATCCCCCTGGATAGAGAATTGAAAATCACCCTGTCCTCACTGAGTACCTGCGCAGCCGAAACTTTCGAGATGTACACGCACTCTCGTAAGGAGGGCCTCCTTGGGGAGGGGGGTAGTGTAAGGAAAATTCATTTTCCTTACTTCGCACCCCTGTGTACCGCGTACAAAACCATTCCCGCCATCGGCACCCAACAGTGAAACGTTACCCGCTCGCGACACTCGCCTCGACTACGACTCCCACCACTGTTCGCAATGCGACCCAACCTAACGGTTCGGTTGGTAACCCGCGCTCCGGACCTCCGCCTCGACAATTCCCAAACCTCGGCGCTAGGCCCGTAGCGCTCCCCAATTTCCCGCATTACCGTTACCACGTTAGCTTCGCTATATAACTTCGCTCATGCTTTTCGCTCAACTGTATTGTTTTGCTTCGATAGTGCAATCCTCGCTCACTCGCTCAATTGCACTCGTAACAGTTTGTCATTTTTTGGAATAGAAGTGTTTGGTGCAAGTTTCCTTTTTTACGAAGTCACTTCTTATCGAACTTTACTGGATGCGTTTTCGCAAATTCTTAGGGCGTGTAAAGTCGTGCCACAACAAATTTTCGGAAAATCCGTCGGGCAGCTGTTGGCGAAAGTAACCCGTCGACGACGTTCGCTGAAACAATTGCAAGCTTCGTCTATTTCGGAGAAAAAATGCGACATTTGATGGCTGGTTGAATAGTCGACACGTATTCGACACCATGTCGACTCCAATTCGGCCAAGTAGTCACCGTGAGCGACAGTCACGTACGACGTCGCACAGTATCGCATAACCCCATAATTTGTGATCTCGTCAAATCAGAAAATTTGCCGCCAAACGTGCGACTCCGTCGCCCATTCGCAACTAATGTAGCAACTGCAAATTTTACAATTTTTTGCAATTCGGCCCTCAAACCTGTAAATTCTGCAAATCTGCAAATAGTGGCTGTAAAAGTGACGACACGAAGTCGACCAATCCGGCGACTTTCGCGAAAGAAATGTCGACCGGATGGTCGACGAAAATCCGGCCAAAGGCAAATTTTGCATGTGTGCGGGGATTTTACACGCCCTTATATTCCCTCCCCCACTCGCCTCGTCGCGTTCGCAACTTCGCATGGCTTTGGCGTCGCACAATCCCATCCGTTTGTTCCTCCTCGCATGCGACGCAACATGCCCTTCCCTTTCGTTTCCTTCACCATGCTAGCTTCCCACTACATGCGTGGTTTCAGTCGTTCTCGCACGACTCTTGTTTCACCTGATTCCCTATCTGTCGTACACTCCTTGTCGCAAACCATTGCACGGGAAATAAATCCCAGTCGCGTCCGTGGCCTCCACTCCCCCCGAGCTCGTATCCATCATGACTGGCGACGACAATAACAGTAGCGCCAACGGCGGCAGCGGCGCCAGCGGCGGCGGCGCAAGCGGTGGTATGTTTCAGCTGGTCGAGTCGACTATTCCGGAGCAGAAGGTCTTCAATAGCCTGCCCTTCCCGCTCGTCCTCACGCCGCACGTACTCCGGAATCCCGCGAACTCGTCCGCTCCCTCCCCATATTCCGCGCCCTCCGCACCTTCCGCGCCCTCCGCGCCTTCCGCCGTACCTTCCGCATCCCTTTCCGCCAATGCCCCCGACGCAAGCGCTCCCGCTTCCCCCTCGTCTTCTCCTCAGGCCGTTCCCCTCGCCACGTCAGCATCCTCCACGTCCGACGTGGCTACTCCCCGCGTCAGCGACGCAGTCGCGTGGATCCGCGCGAACCGCGAATGGCTGTTGGACACGTGGCAGCTGCACGGCGCGGTGCTGCTGCGCGGCTTGCCTCTCGAGTCGCCGTGTGATTTTAACGAGGTCGTGGAGGCCTTCGGATTGGACGAGCTGCCTTACGTGGGCGGCGCGGCTCCAAGAACGAAGGTGATTGGTCGACTCCGTCCCTTCTCCGCTCCGCCAAACCTCCTCCAACTTTCTTCTCTGTCCCCTTCCCCCCTCCACCTCCCCTCCCCTCCACCGTTCCCTTTCCTCCCCTTCTCTGTCCACTCCCGCACGCCTCCCCGTCGCTCCCCTCACCCCCCCCACCCCACCCCAGTCCTTTTTATCTCCTCGCCCCTTCCCTCCCTCGTCTCTCCCCATTCCCCGCGCCTAACCTCAATTCAAGCTCTGCGGCCTGCACTCCGCCTCGCCTCACCTCACTTCACGCCTTCTCACCGCACTCAACCTTCCATACTTGCCCTTCGCCTTATCTCCAATCTCAAGGATCCCCTCTCCTCCACTGCCTCCCACTGCTCTCCATCCCTCCCCACCCCTCCCCATCCCTCTCCATCCCTCTCCACCGCTCTCCACTCCCAGGTGGCTCCACGTGTGTTCACAGCAAACGAGTCGCCTCCGGACCAGAAGATTCCCTTCCACCACGAGATGGCGCAGGTGAGAGAAGGGGGAGGGGGGACAGGGGATGTTGGGGGGGGAGGGGGGTGAAGAGGGGAGGGTGCGGGGGGCTGTGCAGGGGGGAAAGGGCGAAGGTGGGGAGAGGAGTTAATGTGTCATTTACCTCCGGATCAGAAGATCTCTTTCCACCACGAGATGGCGCAGGTGGGAGAGCGGGGACGGGGGAGAGGGGGAAAGAAGGGAAGAAGCTGAAAGTGGTGGGAGGGAGGGTGGTAGTGGGGGAAAGGAAAGAGTAGGCAACGTAGCAGCAGTCACGTTCGGATCAGAAGACTCCCTTCCACCACGGAATGGCGCAGGTGAGAAGCGGAGAGTGGTAAGGGGGGGGAGGGAAGGGGAGTTGGTTTGGGAGGAGGGGATAAGAAGGCTGCGCAGTCGCCTCCGGATCAGAAGACTCGCTTCCACCACGGAATGGCGCAGGTGAGATGGGCGAGAGGGACTAGGGAAGAGAGATGTGGGTTGGGGGAAGGGGAGGAGAGGGGGTTGAGGAGGGGAGGTGGGAGGTGGTTGGGGGGGGGGGGGGGGGGGGGGGGGAGGGGGGAAAGGGGATAAGAAGGCAGCGCTGTCACTTCCAGATCAAAATATTTCCTCCTGTGAACTGACTCGCCGCCTGGAATTGAAGCACCCCTCGTTTGTGGCACAGCTGAGCGCCAAGGGGCTACTGCACTTGCGCTGCTCTTGTGCTGCCATGCCAGGTATTCCCCTCCTTACCTCGGCCCACTCCTCCCCTTGCTCCCGACCAGGTACCAGAGTACCCATCGCGTCTCTTCTTCTTCTGCCAGACCCCACCAGCCACTGGCGGCGAGACCCCCATGCTGCCCTCCTGCGAGCTAACCAGGCGCTTGGCTCTGAAGCACCCTTCGTGTGTCCACTTCTCCCACTCTTCCCTACCAGGTACTACCCGGGTATCCATCCCGACTCTTCTTCTTCTGCCAGGTGCCGCCAGCAACCGGAGGCGAAACCCCCATCCTGCCCTCCTGCGAGCTCACCCGCCGCGTGGCTCTGAAGCACCCCTCGTGCATGGATCAGCTGAGAGCCAAGGGGCTGCTGTATGTGCGCTGCCTCTTCCTCTGCCATATAGCCTTCTCCCCCCACTCCCTCTCTTCCCTTGCCCCCCCCTTACCAGGTACCGGAGTACCCCACACGCCTCTTCTTCTTCTGCCAAGTGCCGCCAGCCTCAGGAGGGGAAACCCCAATTCTCCCTTCTTGCGAGCTCACTCGCCGCTTGGCTCTGAAGCACCCCTCGTTTGTGGCACAGCTAAGAGCCAAGGGGCTGCTGTATGTGCGCGTGCTGGCAGAGGAGGACGACCCTTCTAGTGCTATCGGACGGGGATGGAAGTCGACGTTTCTTACCCAAGACAAGAATGAGGCCGAAGAGAAGTAAGTTGGTATTGGGTGTGAGGGTCAAGGGGATAGCAGCGACTCCCCTCTCATGCATGGCTTGGCTAAGAGCCAAGGGGCTGCTGTACGTGCGCGTGCTGCCAGAGGAGGACGATCCGATCAGTGCTATTGGTCGCGGATGGAAGTCCACGTTCCTGACTGACAGGAAGGCGGAAGCGGAGGAGAGGTGAGTTGTAAGGGCGTGGAGGAGGGGAATGAACGCCATGGGGCTGCTGTGTGTGCGCGTGCTGGCAGAGGAAGTGACTTTAGAGTCGACTCAAAAGTCACCTCTGTCTGTGTGTGCGTGCTGGCAGAGGAGGATGACCCAAGCAGACCTGATGGAACTCGGTGGAAGTCAGAAGCTCAATTTTCTGGATGGCAAAGAGAGTGAAGCTGGAGTGGCAGGCGGGCGGCAGCGTTCGGACCGCTTGCAGCTGCCGCCCACCTCCAACCCCCTCCCACCCTCACTCTCACCTTCACTCCCCCCCTCCCTTCTCCCCTTTCTCCCCTCCCTTCTCCCCTTTCTCCCCTCCCCCCTCCCCTCTCCCCCTCCCCCCCCTCCCCTCTCCCCCTCTCCCCCTTCTCCCCCCCATCACCCCTCCCCTATTTGCCCCCCTCTCCCCTCTCGCTGCTGTACCCTGCCGGCTTGCATGCAGTGTGTCATGTCGGTCTTGCTGGTCATATGTCTGTCATGTCTGTCATTCTCTGTTTTTGTCGTGTTTGTCATCACTTGTCTGTCCCGTTCTGTCTTTGTTAGTCACCACATCACTCCTGCACTTTGTCACATCGTTTTCACCTTGTCTTCATCGTGTTCACAAGTTCATGTCTTGTACATACCTTCTTTGTTTCTCTGTTTTTGTTTCCCTGCTATAATTTCTTGTACATACTGTAGATACTTTAAACCCATGTACCTAGGAACATTGTAAATAAAGTCTGGTCTAAGGCGCTGGATTAAGGTTCCAGTCCGAAAGGGCGTGGGTTCAAATCCCACTTTCGACACTTTCTGCATGGTTGTTCTCGTATGTGTGATCAGGTTACATCCTGCTTGTTTAGAAGGTTGTGTTTGAGCCTCTCTTCTTCTTCTTTTTTTCCTTTTTTTTTCTTTCTTTTTTTGAAGTCATGTCGCTCGCTTGGCGGTCCTATTCTTGTGCCCATGTCCTCCGCTCCTCTTCAGCGTTTCACCGCATCTGTCATGGAAGTCATGGCACCGGCATACAAGAGCACACTCGCAAGAGCACATTCTTTTGAGTCGACTCAAAAGTCACCGCATCTGTCATGGAAGTCATGGCACCGGCATACGAGAGCTCATTCGCACCAGACACTCCCCTCCCTCGCCCCCTGACCTAGCCCGAGGTGACTTTTGAGTCGACTCAAGAGTCACCGCATTTGTCACGGAAGTCGTGGCACCGGCATACGAGAGCTCATTCGCACCAGACACTCCCCTCGCCCCCTAACCTAGCCCCATTGCCCCTCCCGTGCAAAGCTAGGGGTGAAGCTGGAGTGGCAGGCAGACGACCGTGGTCGCCCACCAATGCTCCTATCTGCTGCTACTTCCGGCTCTTCACCTCAACTCTCCCATTCGCACTCTCCCGAGTTGACTCTTGAGTCGACTCAAAAGTCGACCACAGCGATCGCCCACCAATGCTCCTATCGGCTGCTACTCCCGGCTCTTCAACTCAACTCTCCCATTCGCACTCTCCCTCCACCCTACGCCACTTCCCCACTCCCCACCACCCTTCCCGCCGCCATGCAGGGCGGCAAAGCTAGGGGTGAAGCTGGAGTGGCAGGCGGACGGCAGCGTTCGGACTGTTTCCGGGCCTATCCCCGCGCTTAGGGTGGACACCAGGCCTCTACCGAGCCTCTCCACCAAACCTCGTGCTGCAAAGGATGAGGCCCGGGATGAACAGGTTCGGACAGGAAAGGTTCGGGAGGAAGAGGTTGGGGAGGGGGAGGTTCGGGAAGAAGAGGCTCGGGTGGAAGAGATTCGGGAGGCATGGTTCAACAGCATGGTAGCGGCTTACACAGGATGGAAGGACGTGCGTAACGACCCAACCAAGGCGGTTACATTCGGCGACGGGGAGGCGTTACCGGGGGAGGCTGTACTGGCGGTGGAGGAGGAAATGGAACGGCTGGCAGTGGCAGTGCCGTGGCGATGTGGCGACGTGCTATTGGTGGATAACCTCACAGTGCAGCATTCTAGGAGGTCGTTTGAGCCTCCCAGGCGGATCTTGGCTTCGCTTGCCAAGTAATCTCCCTTTAGTTTTGCTTGTACATTTGTAGATGGGGAGGTGCGACCGGGGAAGGCGGTATTGCCGTGCAGCACTCCCGGCGGTCGTTTGAACCTCCTAGGATGTATGGCATCGCTTGCCAAGTGATTTTCCTTTCAGTTTTGCATGTACATTTGTAGATGGGGAGGAGAGGTGCAATTGGGGGAGGCTGTATTGGCGGTGGAGGAGATGGAGAGGTTGGCAGTGGCTGTGCCGTGGCGACGTGGCGACGTGGTGACGTGCTATTGGTGGATAACCTCACAGTGTAGCATTCTAGGAGGTCGTTTGAGCCTCCTAGCCTTATTTTGGCATCGCTTGCCAAGTGACCTCCCTGTAGTTCTGCTTGTACATATTTTTCTTCGCTGATTTTCTCCTTTTGTAGGAGATTTTGAGAAAAAAAAAAACCGGGATTTTTGCACCTTATATCAGAGCTATAGCACGTTTATTTGTAATGCCTTAATTCCTTGTAAAATACTCTACTCTGTATGGCTGTACATAAATAATCAGATTGAGTCCTCCTCTTATACATACCGTACTGGTTGCAGCGCGAATAAGTCTTGATCATCATCCCGCCATTTCACACTTTGCCGCAAGCTGATCCATTTCGAGCAAGCACAGAGTGAAAGCCTAGCGGCGACGCACCACGCCTGCGACTTAGAACGGGGTTAATGTGTTTGTTACTACTGTGGTAACGCGATCTTGAGAGGCACGCACATTGGAGGCGGGGTGAGCTGCTTTTGAGAATTCTCAAGAGGTGGTGAGCAAGAGACGGAGATGATGACGGCCGACATTCTTGACGGCGATTGTTCTGCTCGTGACGGCGACGGTCATGCGCGCGACGGTCACAGTCATCGTGACGGCGACTGTGACGTTCGTGTCGGCATGGGGCATGCTCGCAATACAGGCGGGGATGGGGAGGGAAGGCGGGAAGAGGGAGATGCGTGGGGATTGACGGATGATGGAGAAGGAGAGAGAGAGGAAAGAGAAGGGTGTCGACGAGGAAAAAATGAAAGCGAAGCGGGAGGAGGAGAAAGAGGAGAAAGGGAAGAGGTGGGGAGGAGAAAGAGAAGGAACAGAAGGGGGAGGAGGAGGAAGAGAAGGAACAGAAGGGGGAGGAAGAAGACGAGAAACGAAGGAAGGAGGACGAAAAGCAGAGAAATCAAGGGGCCTAGAAATGCGGTCGGAGGGGGAGCAACGGACGGAGGAGGCGGCTAAAGTGGAGGGTAGGGAGGAAGCAGGGGGAGCAGGAGAGGAGGAAACGGAGGATGAGGAGAAAGAGGAAGAAAGGGAAGGGGGAGGCGAAGACGAAAGGGGTTTACAAGGGCGAGAAATGCAGTTGGAGGGGGAGCAAAGGAAGGAGGAGGGGGGAGTGGCGGTTGAAGGGAGGCTGAGGGAGGAAGCAGGGGGGGAAGGGGAGGCAGGGGGCGAGGAGGAAGGTGAGAAAAGGGAAGACGAAGAGGAGGATGAGAAAGGGAAAGAGGAGACAGAAGATGCCAGGGAGAACGCGGCAGAAGAGGAAGATGAGAAGGAGAAAGAGGAAGAGAAAGGAATGGAGAAAGAAGAGGAGGAGGGGGAGGAGGAGGAAGAGGAGGAGGAGGAGGAGTATGTGTATTTGGATTTGAGCCAAGCGGTTAGGAGGCTGCCAAGAAATTGCCGACTTATTATTGAGGTAAGTGGGTGAGCCTGGCGGTTAGGAGGTTCGATGCGAGTTCCAGTGAGAGGGTACGAAAGCCAATTGAAGGATGGTGTTTCTTATTGTGCTCTTACGACTAAAAGTGTCACTCGCTCATCAGGCAAACAAGGAACGCGGAATGAAAAGCGTTCTACAGGGGTTTTATGCAAGGGCTGGAAGCGGGCTACCCATGGAGGGCTTATAATGAGGGGACCATTCACTTCATAAAATTTTCAAAAGTGATCCTCACATAGCAAGCAAAGCATGGAGGGGCTTATAACGAGGGGTAATTCAAGGTTGTCACAACTTGTGCATCGTCACATGTGTTTCTGGTGTGTGCATGTACACACGTATACATTCATGCATGGTTGTATTCAAGGTATGCATCATGAATGTTCCAACCATTTGTGAAATGACGCATTTCTCTTCCTACCATTCCTTTTCTCCCCATGTGTGTCTTATCCAGAACTTGGAGTCAGAGGCGCCAATACTGCACCTGCCAGATGGCAGCACGCTGGTAAGCCACGTCATCTTAGACCAAGGCATCATAAACCTCGTCCCTTAAGACCAAATATTGTTAAACTGTGTCTATTGCTCCTGGGAGAATCGTTGCACCTGTGCTCTCCATGTCGTTTCCTTTTATGAGTCTGCAATGGCCTCCCCTTATATGCTTGTCTCCCAACCCTACCAACTCTCCCCTCTCTCCTTCACAGCCCTTCTTCCCTCTCTGCATCCTGCCCGGCCATGTGAGGGATACCTTAGCATTGATCAAACGCATCCAGCCTGCCTTCCCTCTCATCTCTGTTTTGGCTCCTGATTTGACTGCTTGAATTCTCTTGTCCATGTAGGTTGGAGACTATGAGGAGACTCTGGGCTCCTGCCTCTTCTTTCAAGAAAGTAAGTCCACAGAAAGGAAGTTTGTTGATATTTCTCCTTAACATTTGCGACCTTGAGTAAGTGAGAATGAGCATGAAAAGCTACAGCACACTGTTTCAACTTTCTATATCCATTAGCTCTTTTGTGCTCCAACTCTTCTCCAAGAAACGTCTTTTTTGCATCTTATTCCCTTACTACAAACCCTGCTGTTTCCTATTGCAGCTCTTGTGGCTGCTGCTACCACCCCCGCTCCCAGCAACGCATCCGGCCCATCCACGTTCCCTGCTGCTGCAGTTGGTGGTGCCCCAGCTCCAATAGGAGGCCAAGAAACGATAGGGAAGCATGATGCAGCGGTGGGAGGCGAGCAAAAGAGGAAACGATGTGTTAAGTACATTGGAAAAACAGAACTCAGATTGACGTTTAGGAAACTCTCTTAAAGCTCGCGTCTCTAATTTCCAACCGTTTAACACTTGGTTGGGTTTGCCAGGGTTTGATTGGGTAACGAAAGTCGAAATATTTGACGAGTGGGCGAAAAAAACACAGCGAACTCCAAAAGATCGAGGCCAAAACAAACCAGGGTGGGTTGGTTTGGGGGGAAACCGAGGCAAGGGTGACAGGTTTGGTCCTGGGTTCTGTCAACGTTCAGTTCAGAGTCTCATATGTTTGGGAGTTGTAAACACTTCGTGTGCACGGGGAAGTGTGCGACAGCCAACTTTCCCAACCACCCCTTGCTTTGGTGTGCTTCGCGACAAACTCTGCTGTTACCGGATTCCAACCGTTTAACACTTGGTTGGATGGCAGAAATATGAGACGCGAGCTTTAATGCTGTCTTAGTTCGTTTGCCTACAGATAAGGTTATGCTCACTAAATTCCTGACAACACTTACCAATCAAACGTAAGAGTTGCACCAACATTTTGCGAATCATCCGTCGACACTAAAGCGGGGAAGTTCAGGAGTGGAGAACACGTGTACATCACCCGCACAGTCGAGAACCCGATTTGCGATTTTCAGGGTGCGCGCTGAACAATCAGTGCGGTTCAGTTGGCTTTAACACGGTGAGCAGCATTCTACTGCTCTGGAACGCAATGCACCAGACATTACCGAGATAACCGCAGGATTCCACAAATGAAGGCAGTGTTCTCTAACATTCCAAGTTACTGCATTCAGAATTCCTCGATTTTGTCATCCTTGCGACTTCCAAGTTGGATTTCTCTGATTTCCGACCATCAGTCAGCCATTGCATAGTCAGCCATTCGGTGCCGTCACCTGCAAGGCTGCAGCACAACAGAGCCAAAACGGTCTGTTCCCGGATTCTCGATTCCGTCATTCTTGCTTTCGTCGGCTGTCGGTCAGTCAGAAGCTTACCCATTCCGTGCTGTGAACTGCACGGGTGGTACTAACATTCTTTCTCCAGCATAGTCGACCCGCTTTCGTGTGACCTGCTTTTGCAAGAATTCGATCACATTGCACGCGTCTCTGAGATCTCCGAGAGAAATTCCTATTTCAGCTTTGCCGTGGTTATCTGATCCGAATGTCAACGCTGAACTCCCTGTCAGTTTCTCAGATTTCGTCAGCCACTCTCGCAGTTCGCGGATCCTTTTCAGGCGTATTCGACAAATCGCCTTCAGGTTTCCATCCTCCGTCTCGACCGTACGCGCTAAGATCGACCTCGTCAAGCGACACAACCACACAAACAGCAACGCATTTTTTCCCGTCAGTGCGTAACTTCCGGATTCGCCCGCGATCAGCGGCAAGCGGTAATCGGCGATCGGGAGTAGTCATGGCGGCTTCGGGTGCGTCCGACGGGAGCGACATCTTTAAGCGGAGCATCAACCTGATGATCGTCTCGGATCTTGACAACACCATGGTGAGACTTCTAGGGCCCTTAAACACACAGACTCGGCAACGCGCCTCAGACTCCGACGGGAGCGAAATCTTCAAGCGCAGCATCAACCTGATGATCGTCTCGGATCTTGACAACACCATGGTGAGATATTTTAGCCACCTCAATAGCAGACTCGGTTTCCGAAGAGCCTCAAGAACACTCGTCGAGGTAGTGGCATTCTCAAGCAAGCATCAACCTCATGATTGTCTCCGACCTCGACAACACCATGGTGAGATCTCTTCGGGCTCTCAACACCATGGTGAGATCTCTTCGGGCTCTCAACACCATGGTGAGATCTCTTCGGGCTCTCAACACCATGGTGAGATCTCTTCGGGCTCTCAACACCATGGTGAGATCTCTTCGGGCTCTCAACACCATGGTGAGATCTCTTCGGGCTCTCAACACCATGGTGAGATCTCTTCGGGCTCTCAACACCATGGTGAGATCTCTTCGGGCTCTCAACACCATGGTGAGATCTCTTCGGGCTCTCAACACCATGGTGAGATCTCTTCGGGCTCTCAACACCATGGTGAGATCTCTTCGGGCTCTCAACACCATGGTGAGATCTCTTCGGGCTCTCAACACCATGGTGAGATCTCTTCGGGCTCTCAACACCATGGTGAGATCTCTTCGGGCTCTCAACACCATGGTGAGATCTCTTCGGGCTCTCAACACCATGGTGAGATCTCTTCGGGCTCTCAACACCACTCAACACCACTCAACACCCATGGCGAGACTCGGCTGCTGAGACGCCTCAAATTCGGGACGGGAGCAGCATCAACCTCATGATTGTCCCCGACCTCGACAACACCATGGTGAGATTTTTTTTAGCCTCCTCAATAACAGACTCGATATCTGAGGAGGTTCGGACGGGAGCGACATCTTAAAGCGAAGCATCAACCTCATGATCGTCTCTGACCACGACAACACCATGGTGAGCTCTCGTTGGGCCTTCAATAACCAACTGGGGATTTGAAGCACCTCATGGGCAGGAGCGGGACGGCAGTGCAGTGTTCAAGCGAAGCATCAACCTCATGATCGTCTCTGACCACGACAACACCATGGTGATTTGTCCTCTTCCTGAATTCCTTGTCCGGTCTTCTCTTTCTCATCTTCAGGCCTCGATTTCATAGCTTTCTTGTCTTTTCGCCGCTCCGTGAGCAACTCTTCTCGATTTCTCTGCGCTCGACCTAGATTTCATCGGAATCTGATCCCACAGTTACGCGACCTTCCGTCCGCCACTCGGTTTCTGATTCACCTGATTCGCTCTGTTGTTTTCACCTGATCAGGTGGACCACAAGGACCCCAATCACGAGTCGCTGCGCGAGTTCGCGTCTCTCTGGCAGTCCACGTTCGCGGGGGACTCACTGCTCGTCTACTCCACTGGCCGCTCGCCCACCCTCTACAATCAGCTCAAGAGCCAAGTGCTGCTGCTCACGCCTGGTGAGTTGGCTGGCCCGAGAATGCCTATGCTGGAATCACTTTTGAGAATCCTCTAAAGCGATCCAAGCATTGCCAAGAATGGTAAGCATTGTCACTGGTCGCTCGCCCACTCTTTTCAACCAACTCACAGCCAAGCGCCACTGCTCATGCCTGGTTGTCTCCCTCCTCCTTTCCACGCTCTCTCGTTTTCCCCCCCGTTTCCTGCCAAGTCTTCCTTCCAGACATCGTGTATCATGTCTGCCCCGTGGGTGTATCATGTCAGAGGGTGTGGGGGTCACCCACGGTTTTTGAGGCGCCTCAAATCATGAGACGATTTTTTAGGCTCCTCAAATATCCTTCCACACATCGTGATCATTTCAGGGAATGCGGGGATCACCCACGGTCCGTGGGTTTGGGAGGAATATCTCGGCCTTGTCTTCCATTTCATTCAACCCTCTTTTCCCCTCACTCCCCCTCCAGACATGGTGATCATGTTGGCGGGTACAGAGATAACTGACAGAACGTCCATACAACATGAGAAGCCCAGAAATCCCCCCTTGACGCCTGTTTCTTTGCTCCACCCACCCCCCTCCCTCCCGCCCCGCTCACAGCCACAACCCCCCCCCCCCCTCTCCCACCATCCCCTCTCCAGACATCGTGATAATGTCAGTGGCCACGGAGATTACCTATGGAGCGTCCATGCAACCCGCCAGGCCCACCCAGACTGCACCCCTTCCCCCCAGCTTTCCTCCTCCACCCCTCCCCACAACCCATACCCCCTCTTTTTGTTTTTTTATTCCCCCCCTCACCATCCCCCTTACCCTCTCTCCAGGCATTGTGATCATGTCAGTGGGCACGGAGATCACCTATGGCGCGTCCATGCAACCGGACAAGCCCAGACGGCACCCCCTCTTCCCCACACACCCTTTCCCCCACGCCTCTTTCGCATTTCCTCTCCAGACATCGTGATCATGTCAGTGGGCACGGAGATCACCTACGGCGCGTCCATGCAGCCGGACAGGGGGTGGGAGGAGTATTTCGGGCCTCACTCCCCTTTCTTACCCACTCTCCCCATCATTGCTCCTCCCCTCTCCTCCAGACATTGTGATCATGTCAGTGGGTACGGAGATCACCTATGGCGCGTCCATGCAGCCGGACAGGGGGTGGGAGGAGTATTTCGGGCCTCACTCCCCTTTCTTACCCACTCTCCCCATCATTGCTCCTCCCCTCTCCTCCAGACATTGTGATCATGTCAGTGGGTACGGAGATCACCTATGGCGCGTCCATGCAGCCGGACCAAGGGTGGGAGGAGTATTTCGGGCCTCACTCCCCTTTCTTACCCACTCTCCCCATCATTGCTCCTCCCCTCTCCTCCAGACATTGTGATCATGTCAGTGGGTACGGAGATCACCTATGGCGCGTCCATGCAGCCGGACCAAGGGTGGGAGGAGTATTTCGGGCCTCACTCCCCTTTCTTACCCACTCTCCCCATCATTGCTCCTCCCCTCTCCTCCAGACATTGTGATCATGTCAGTGGGTACGGAGATCACCTATGGCGCGTCCATGCAGCCGGACCAAGGGTGGGAGGAGTATTTCGGGCCTCACTCCCCTTTCTTACCCACTCTCCCCATCATTGCTCCTCCCCTCTCCTCCAGACATTGTGATCATGTCAGTGGGTACGGAGATCACCTATGGCGCGTCCATGCAGCCGGACCAAGGGTGGGAGGAGTATTTCGGGCCTCACTCCCCTTTCTTACCCACTCTCCCCATCATTGCTCCTCCCCTCTCCTCCAGACATTGTGATCATGTCAGTGGGCACGGAGATCACCTATGGCGCGTCCATGCAGCCGGACCAAGGGTGGGAGGAGTATTTCGGGCCTCACTCCCCTTTCTTACCCACTCTCCCCATCATTGCTCCTCCCCTCTCCTCCAGACATTGTGATCATGTCAGTGGGCACGGAGATCACCTATGGCGCGTCCATGCAGCCGGACCAAGGGTGGGAGGAGTATCTGAACGATGGGTGGGACAGGGCCGCCGTGGTGGACGTGGCTAAGGGCTTTCCACAGCTGCGGTTCCAGGTGAGTCAAGGTTGGTGACTGAGAAGGTTCATTGCAGCCGGACAAGGGGTGGGAGGAGTATCTGAACGATGGGTGGGACAGAGAGGCTGTGGTGGACGTGGCTAAGGGCTTCCCTCAGTTACGGTTTCAGGTGGGTTGTTGGGCTTCTGGGTCGTCTCAAGTGGGTTGGTCATTGCAGTGCGTTCAACAGCCAGACAAGGGGTGGGAGCAGTATCTGAACGATGGGTGGGACAGAGAGCCTGTGGTGGACGTGGCTGTGTGCGATTCCAGGTGGGTTTCTTCCTTACCCACCTCAAGAGTACCTGGAGGGGTGGGGCAGGGATGGCAGGTGTGAGCTGGTGCTGAGGCTCTGGGGGAAGACAGCATTCGGTGCGTCTATGCAGCCGGACAGGGGGTGGGAGGGGTATGTGGACGATGGGTGGGACAGGGACGGCAGGTGCTGAGGCTGTGGGGGAAGAAGATAGCTTTTGGCGCGTCTATGCAGCCGGACAGGGGGTGGGAGGGGTATGTGGACGATGGGTGCAACAGGGACGCGTTGTCGCAGGAGGCCAGGGGGTTCCGTTTGCGCAGCTGAAGTGCCAGTTGGGTGTTTTTGTGGAATTTTCCATATTTTGTTCGACTCGTGAGAGATCCACTTTGAGGCGCTTTAGTCAGTTTCCTCTCCCTCCGTTTCTCCCACTGCTCGCCCCAACTGTCTCAGGCGGACTCAGAGCAGCGGCCGCACAAGGTCAGCTTTCACCTGGAGAAGGACAAGGCAGGCAACGTGGTGGAGGAGCTGAGGGGCAAGCTGGCGCAGCGAGGGGTATGTGGTTGTTGGTGTAGAGGAACGGTATGCACAAGTATGTGATTATGAGAGTGTAGTAGGTGCATCCATGTGTGTGTGTGTGTGGATCGAAGCCCCACAAGGTGAGCTTCCATCTGCAGAAGGACAGGGCGGGCAACGCGGTGGAGGAGCTCAGGAGCAAGCTGGCGCAGCGAGGGGTATGTGACTGTAGGGAAATGTGACTGTTTGTGTATGTGGCTTCAAGCCGCACGAGGTCACCTTTCACCAGCTTTCACCTGGAGAAGGACAAAGCAGGCAATGTGTTGGAGGAGCTGCGGAGCAAGCTGCAGCAGCGAGGGGTATGTGACTGTAGGAGAACGTGATTGTAGTAGGTGCACTGCACAGTGACAGCCCTACCGCTTGGACTGCCTTGTGCCGGTCCGCAGCCCTCATGCACCACAGCTGTAGCCCGCCTAAACACACGCTGTGATCCTTGCTTAGGGTAGTCTGATGTGCCTCTCTCTCGCCCCACAGGGTGTTTTTGAGAATTCTCAAAAACACCCTCTCGTCTCGCCTCACATCAGTTCAAGAGAGAGGCATATCCTGGCTTGTACTGATGTGTGCCGCTCTCTCTTTCTCCCTCTCCACTGCGCTTTCTCTCTCCTCCCCCTTTTACCAACCGTATCCCAGCTGAAGGCGAAGGTGATATACAGCGGGGGGTACGACTTGGACATTCTTCCGGAGAGGGCAGGCAAGGGGCAGGCCATGGCGTCCCTGCTGCTTATTTTCTCTCCTCCCTCTTCCTCTCCCTCGCCCACTTCCCCCTCCCTTCCCCCGTCCCCTTCCGCTCCCCTCTCAACCTTCCCCTCCCCCTCCCCCTTCCACTCCCCGTCCCATCCCCACACAAACCGTACAGCTCAAGGCGAAGGTGATATACAGGGGGGGGTACGATCTGGACATCCTGCCGGAGAGGGCGGGCAAGGGGCAGGCCATGGCATACCTGCTGCGGCAGTTCACGCAGCACAGTGGGGGCGCTCCCTCCCTCCCAGACCAGATGCGCCCTGTCACCCTGCCTTTGCCAGTCCCCACCCCATCCCCAGGCATACGCTAGCCTTTGCTGACGTGTGCTACTCTGTCCTCTCTTCTTCCCCCCCCTTCTTCCTCCCCCCACCTCCCCCTCACACCAGCTGAAGGCGAAGGTGATATACAGTGGGGGGTACGATCTGGACATTCTGCCGGAGAGGGCGGGCAAGGGGCAGGCCATGGCGTACCTGCTGCGGCAGTTCACGCAGCACAGTGGGGGGGCGCCTAAGCACACGCTGGCGTGTGGTGACTCGGGCAATGACGCAGAGCTGTTTGAAGTGGAGGGGGCTTACGGCGTGATTGTAAGTTGAGGGAGAAGGGGCGTGTGCTGCTGTATTGAGGCGTGTACCAAGGGGTGATTCTGGTGTGTGATTGTGAGTGGATGAGGAAGGGCGTGTGTCGCTGTATTTAGGGTGTACCGCTGGTCGTTGATGGTGGAGAGGTACAGGACAGGGCGCATCACAGCACCGCACAGCACCGCACAGCACCGTACAGCACAGCAGGGCAGGGCACCACGTTCAACTCCACAGCACAGCACAAGTATTACATCTCCTCCCCGTTCCCCCTTTTCCCTTTTGTGTTTTTGAGACGTCTCAACTCCACAGCACAGCACAAGTATTACATCTCTTCCATGTTCCCCCTTCTCCCTTTTGTCCCATCCGCCTGCAGGTATCCAATGCGATGGAGGAGCTACTGGAGTGGCACAGGGCGCACCACAGCACAGCAGAGCAGATAAGAGAGCACAGCACTCCACAGCACAGCGCAAGCCTCTTTATCTCCCTCTCTTTGTCCCTCACAGGTATCCAACGCAATGGAGGAGCTGGTGGAGTGGCACAGGGCGCACCACAGCACAGCACAGCAGAGCACCGTATAGCACCACACAGCACAGCCCAAGTCGTCCATCTCCCTCCCCTTTGCCCATTGCAGGTATCCAACGCAATGGAGGAGCTGGTGGAGTGGCACAGGGCGCACCACAGCACGGACCATGTGTTCCGGGCCACCAAGCGCTGTGCAGGGGGGATTATCGAGGCCATCAAGCACTTCAAGTTCGGCCCCCAGTAGCACCAGTGAGTCTCTCATTCCTGCCTGTCAGCCTGCACCTCACAACCACAGCGCACCACAGCACAGCACCACAGCACGGACCATGTGTTCCGGGCCACCAAGCGCTGTGCAGGGGGGATTATCGAGGCCATCAACCACTTCAAGTTCGGCCCACAGTAGCACCAGTGAGTTTCTCTCCCTCGTGCCCTCCTTTCTATGAGTTTGCTAAACAATGGTGCAAGTGGCACAGGGCGCACGGACCATGTGTTCCGAGCCACCAAGCGGTGTGCAGGAGGGATCATCGAAGCCATGAACCACTTCAAGTGCCCAGGAGCACCTCCCCGCAGTAGCAGCAGTGACTTTTGAGTCGACTCAAAAGATCATCGAAGCCATCAAATCAACCACTTCAAGTGCCCAGGAGCACCCCCCCGCAGTAGCAGCAGTGAGTCTCTCATCCCTGTTAGTGAGTGAGCCAAACGGGTGCGGGAGGGATTATCGAGGCCATCAACCAGCGAGTCTTTCATCCCTGCTTGCCAGCTCGCACCACAGTGGTGGGTGCATGCCTGCGTTGCTGCGTCTCTAAAGTTGTCCACCCTCTCCTTTTCTGTCTGCTACCTTCACTGCTGCCCACGCAACTCTCCTTCTCACACTCCCCCTTTTTGCAGCGCCGTGTGTGCAATCCACTAACCTAAAGATTGTCTGTCTGTATCCCCATGCTGCCTTGTACCTCGTTTGTGTTGTGACTGTTGTGTTGCGTGTACAGACTGTTGGCATAGCAGCAGGGAGCACATGGATGTCAGTGGTGGTATCGTGTTCCAATTTTACAAATTTATATCATAAGCATGCCTTACAATTTACCGTACCAACTAAAAGGCTTAGACGATATGGCACTTGATGCATTTATCATGTTATTGATAGCTTCTAGCACAATTACATGACTGACTGCAGATGCAGTTTATGCGTACATCTCATGCACAGTAGACATTCTTAGTATGCAAACGACATTTAGAACCAGTTCTACTGTTGAGCCTGCAGGGAGGAGCAACAGATGAAAAGGAGAGAGTGGCTGTATCAAATTGACAAGGTATAGATGCATAGTAGCAACAAGTACAGATATTAGTGTGGCTAAGAGATTGGCTATTTCACATGCATGCCCGTGCCATGGCGTGAACGCATGACATGCGTATGACATGCAACATCCTTTCAATTTCTGAGAAAGATAAGACATAGGCATATCCATGATTGCATGCGTTAAATGAATCCCTTCCCCCTTCAACAGACATCTCCATGGTAACTGCGAGGCGAGCCCATGCAAGAATTTTTTTTGGCGCCTCAAAATTCAACAGACATCTCCATGGTTACTGCTAGCCCATGCAAGTAAACGTGAGAGGGAACAGATGGGGATGTGAGCGCATGTGGTTAATCAGCATAGGACACTCACGCATGTGGCCAATCAGCATAGGACACTCACGCATGTGGCCAATCAGCATAGGACACTCACGCATGTGAGTGCCCTGGTTCAGTCACAATCACAATCATGTAACATGTGCAGGCATATAGTCACATCAGCATGTGCAATCACACTCATCTATAGTCACACACCCGTTTCGAATACAGTACCTCGGCAGCAGCCTGGTGTGTGTGAGAATGGGCATCCGCCAAAGAAGCCGTCAGATTCAACAGTCGGGCCAGACAAGCCCATGTATACAGTCACACCCATCTGTATAGTCACACCTATCTATACAATCACACCCATGTACAACACAGTACCTCGGCAGCAGCCTGGTGGCTGTGTGAGTGTGCATCCGCCAGGGAAGCCGTCAGATTCTCCAGACGGGCCAAGCGAGCCTCCACTGCAGCGTTGTACCCCTCCGCCTGGAATGTATGAGTGGCATCAGTGGGCACGTCGCACGTGAGGGGGGTGGAGGGGGAGGGGAGAGAGACAAACGACAATGACAAACAAGCCGTCAGATTCTCCAGTCGGGCCAGACGAGCCTCCACTGCAGCGTTATACCCCTCCGCCTGCCATAGTGTGTGTGTGGCATTAGTGGGCACGCCACACGTGAAGGGGGGAGAGAGAGACAGATGAGAATGGCAAGCCGTTGGGTTCTCCTCTCCAGTCAGGCCAAACCAGCCTCCACTGCAGCGTTGTACCCCTCCGCCTGCCATGTGCCATTCGGAAGGGGTGGGAGGGCGGGAGAGGGGACAGTGACAAGTGACAGGCCGTTGGGTCCTCCAGTCTAGCTAGACGAGTTTCCACTGCAGCGTTGTACCCCTCTGCCTGGAATGTGCCATTGGGAAGGGGTGGGAGGGCGGGAGAGGGGACAGTGACAAGTGACAGGCCGTTGGGTCCTCCAGTCGGGCCCAACGAGCCTCCACTGCGGCGTTGTACCCCTCCGCCTGCCGAGTTGACATTTGAGTCGACTCAAAAGTCAACTCGTATCCCTCCGCCTGGCATCGTGTGGGAGGGGGAGGGGGAGGGGGGAGAGAGACACAAACGACAATGACAAGCTGTCAGATTCTCCAGTCGGGCCAAGCGAGCCTCCACTGCAGCAATGTACCCCTCCGCCTGCCATGTGCCATTTGGAAGGGGTGGGAGCGCGGGAGAGGGGACAGTGACAGGCTGTTGGGTTCTCCAGTCGGGCCAAACGGGCCTCAGCTGCAGCGTTGTACCCCTCCGCCTGTCATAAATCAGTGAATTCAGTGGGCAAGCGAGGAACGGGAGGAGTGACTGATAACAATGGAAAGCCCACTCATGCATCAGTGGATCAAGGGCACGTGACATGAGGGGAAGGGAGAGGGGAGAGAGACAGACGACAATGGCAAGCTGTTGGATTCTTCGGTCAGGCTAGCAGAGCCTCGAATGCAGCAGGTTGTATCATTTTCCCGAACTCTCGTGACGTCACTCGAGGAACAGTGACGTCAGTGGATGACCAGTGAAGGAACAGGGCCGTCAATGGAGGAAAAGTGACGTCAGTGGTGAGTGAACAGTGACATCTGGAAGGAACTGTGACGCCACTGTATGATCGTGAGTGAATGAATCGTGACGTCAGTGGATTGAAGAGTGACTTCGGCGCAGCAGGCACCAATGTGCAATCTCCCATGTTCCCTTAACGCATCAGTCTTCCCGTCAATGTTCCGATATAAGCTGCATCGGTGCAAGCCTCACCTGCTCCGTGAGCACTTTATGACTCGCTAAGAGATCTCGTTGTAGCAGGTACATCGCTCCTGCCGACGCCACCGCGAATCCCGCTAAGAACCCGCCGAGCCGCGCGCGAAACAGAGCCATTAGTACGTCGAATCAACAACTACACTGCGAGAGCGAGTAGATAGTATTTTAGGCGCCCCTTAAAATCGCCTCTCCAGACTCTTGGTCCGGCTAACTATTGGTCGAAGCGGCGAAGAGGAAGAACAGTCAGCGATGCGGCTGGTCAACAGCGTTGGATCAAGGGTGCACACCTCTTGGTCCAAAAAGGCTGCACGGGATAAGGCGGCAGGGGTAGCTTTCGCGACAGATCAATGACTGCGCTTTCGGCTGCTCCGCGTTGCGGGTTTCCTGCCTCGCAGCGCGCTATGGCGCCGAGCTGAGCCTGGGGAGAGGCGATACAAAGAGAGGCTAGAGGGAAGTAAGAGGGAGTAGCGCAAGACGCGGAGCTGTAAAATCAGTCGGTGGTATCTATGGCAGTAGATCGGGATTTGGTTACCATTCGTTTTGTGCAGGCCAGAGTCTTTTCGCGAATTGCACTAAGAATTCGGGTTTCGCCAAACCGGCGATGGATGGATGACTGACGTGTGAGATGTTACCATCACCTGAATTCGCAAGGTCAAAGTTTTGAAACTTCCATGTTTTCGTGTGCGTAGTTTTTCGTGAGACCATATTTTTCTTGTAGCAGTACACTTTCGTGGTGTTATATAGCAATTCCTGAGTCAGTTCAAAGCGAATACCGAAGCTTCGTTTTGCTCCTGCTGCTACTCGCTGCTTCAGCTGCGTCTGCTGCTTTGGCAGTTCGTGCTGCTGAGTCAGCCTTATCCGTTTCGCAGCTGAGGCGATATTACAACTGCCTTTCAGGATCCAGCCTCGTCCTCTAACGATCCATTCAGAAGCGACAGCCATTCGTACTAAATAATACGCTCTTCTTAGATCGTCATTAGAATCCACAGGCGGCTGAATCCCTGGGCGTCGCTATGGCAGTCTGCACGTCACAGCTGGGTCTGACGAGCCAGCATTCCATCTTGACGGCAACCGGCAGTTTAGACGGTCGTCAAGGCAATCTCCACGCATTTTCGACCCCCCACAGCCCGTCATTACTCGTCAGGAAGCCACGTGTCGTCTGCTCGTTGGGTCCTGAAATAGAAAAGTCCGGGTTCGGGTTTAACGCAGTGACACGCGGAAGAAGGCCGAGCACGGCTTGCAGAGCTGATAAAAAGGTGAGTTTCGTTAAGTAAATGCTTTTTTTGGGTAATGTTGAAGTTCCCTAACTCAGGGACGGTAGGAAAGACCAACATTTTTACTTTGATGTCACGTCACGATCAGCCAAAAACTTGTAAGTAGACTCATTTTTTCGACATATAGATAAGCCAGCTCGCTTATTTACGATGTTGCGCTCAAATAGATCGGCGGTTCTCCTCGTTAAGCCCCCTCAACCCCCCGATCCTCCCTCCCCTTCCCCCCCCAACACCACTCGTCCTTCTCTCATCCCCAGGACGCGGCGAGAAAGGCGCTAGAAGACGCTCTGTCAGGCAAGAAGGACATTCTGGACAAGTGGGACGCGGAGATCAAGAAGCGGGAGGAGGGCGGAGGGGGAGGGGAGGGCCGGGGGAGGGGTTGGGGGGGAGGCGGAGGAGGGGGAGGAGGGGACGGGGATGGTGTGAGCGGCAGTGGGGATGAGCGGTGGGAGGAGACGAAGCAGGTTCTGTTTGCAATTGGCGGCATGCTTGGCATTGTGAGTGTGCTTCGCATTGTCAGTTCCTTTTGGGACGTGTTTTGAGAGGCCTCAAAATGTGTGAAGGGGGGGTTGGGGGGGGAGATGAGTGGTGGGAGGAGACGAAGCAGGTTCTGTTCGCGATCGGCGGCATGCTTGGATTGGTGAGTGACTTTTTGAGATCTTATAAGGTGGCTATGGTTGTGCTTCGCATTGTGAGTGCCTTTTGAGACATGTTTTGAGAGGTCTTAATTGGTGTGAGCGGCGGGGGGGATGAGCGGTGGGGGGAGACGAAGCAGGTTCTATTTGCAATTGGCGGCATTCTCGGCATTGTGAGTGGCTTTTGAGACGTCTCGAAAGGTGTTATGAGTGTGCTGTGCTTGGTGGCGTTGTGAGTGTGCTAGAGGCTAGAGGGGATCGTGGAACTTGGAGGCATGGTGACTTTTGAGTCGACTCGAAAGTCACATCGTGGAACTTGGAGGCATGATTTCGTCTCATTCTGCAGAAACTTGCAACGCTAGCCCCTCCCCTCCTCTTTGCGTTTCACTTCTGTTTCTTTGTCTTCCATTTGATCGAGTTTTTTTCCTTGCACTAATAATCGTCGCATTAGCCGTCTTTCTCTCTATCTCCTTCCCTCGTCCCTTTCCCTCCCCTCCCTGTCCTCCCACCCCTTCCCCTCCCCTCCCCTCCCCTCCCCTCCCCTCCCCTCCCCTCCCTCCTGCCCCCTCCTTCCAACCCCTCACAGTATCTGCTGTTCACACAGGGCCTTCGCATCGTGGCCTCCAAAATCAACTGCATTCTCTTCCGTCCACCTCCCCTCCCTCTGCCCGCTCCTTCCACCCCCCACAGTACCTGCTGTTCACGCAAGGTCTTCGCATCGTGGCATTCCTAGTCAACTGCATTCTCTTCGTGCTTCGGGGTTTTAAGGGGCCGCGCTCGCAGCAGCAGGAGATCTACACCCCCCGTGCGGCCACCGCTGGTGCTGCTGGGGGCGATGGGGATGTGGGTGATGCGGGGAAGAGGGAGGAGAGCGTGCGGCAGAAGTGGGGAGGGGACGAATGAGAGGAGTGAGGGAGTAATGAGGAAGAGAGTGAAAGGGGAGAAAGGGATGTGTTGAAGAGGTATGAGAGTGTGCGGCATAAGTGGGGTTGCGATGAGTGAGAGGAAGAGGGAGTAATGGTGGGAGGAGGAGTGAGAGGGTGTGGATAAAGATTGGATCCTGGCAGAGTGAGAGGAATGAGGGAGGATAAACGAGATGGTTAAGTGAGAAGGGAAGGCTGAGAGTTCTGTGAGGTGGAAATTGCAATGGATGAGTGGGGTGGGGAGGGGATTGGTGAACAGCAGCTGAGGTTTGGCTTTGGTCCTGATGTTGGTCCTGACGAGTCAACACAGAAGCAATTAAGCAGCAGTCAAGTCAACTCTAGCAGCAATCTTGCGGAACTCTAGCAGAGCTCCCTCCACACCACAACATTCTTGCAGCAGTGTAGCAGACACATAGCAACAGGCTACAAGCACTCTTTTGCCTTGCCATGGGTTGTGGCTGGAATGCCTCTCGCTAATTTTTCATTTCCCATCGATGGCAATTTTTCAATGCTGCATCTCATGCATGCCTCAGAAAGAAACGTTTTACGGTGTAATCTTACGGGTGTGATGCAAGGTTCTTTGTGGGTTGGGAGTTGGACTGAAATGGATGTGAAGGGAAATTGATGGTGGAAACAAATTCTTTTTCTATGTTAGCAGGTTGAAGCAAATGTAATTCCTTATTCCTAGTTTGAAAATGTGGTTCTGTAAGTGCTGGTGATTCAGTCCTTGCACGTGGCTCTGGCATACAAAAGCGAAAAGCTGGAAAACGGGGAAATCACTTATGCGCCCTCATTTGGTCCTCAACTGTGCCCCACGCTTGGGGGAATCTTGTTTTACTTCACATGTACAGAACTGTGATCCAGCTAACTGTGATACCCTACTGAGCTGTCTTGCCCGAAATGCCTTTTCGAGGGGCCTCGTGTCATCTCGAGAGTGGTTCGTGCGCCTTGGATCTCGTGATCCAACCAATCAACGTCATTCCCACGCCCCCAATGTGATCGATCTGCATAAACCATGCAATAATCGATGCCGAGCTGGCTTAGCAGCGTTGGTCATTCAATGTTCTGTACTGCATCACCCACTGTACAGCTTCAATTATCCTTCACATGTCAAGGACTCTCACACACGAGGAGCCTTTGGTTTGAGGTTGTTCGTTCCGAGATGACATTCGTGTCTGGGCTGGGACTGACACAAGGTTGACATTTCTCTCCACTCCATAAAACGGAATTCCACACATCGCACAACCAAAGAACGGAAAAATACGTTCCCCACCCACGGGTACACACCACCACCGCCTCGCCTCTCCCACCCACAACAACCAACTACAACTCCACTAGGCGCGTCTTGCCAAACACCTCACCGCCACCCTGAGGGTGTCAGGCGTCACATTAGATACACCCTGAGAGCCTCACAGCCAGAACACCAAATTTCGGCGGGTTTTTAGTTGAACGCGCACTGTTACTGAACTTATTCGCTCCCCGAGAGGCTACAGCGCTTTGGGCGCACTGTTACTGCCAAGAATTCGCTTACAGCGCAGAGTTATTGCGATTTCAACGCATTTTTGCTTTCATTGGTCACAAAATTGACGGGCCGACAACCCTGCTTGGATTGACGGCCACCGAACCGTCAAACGCTAATATTTCGGGCATAACAAATATAAAACCCTATCGGGTGGCATATTTTTCGAGGGAGGCATCAACCCGAAACACCAGGCGGCAAGGTGTTTAGGGTTGATGCCCTTCTCAACGAGTATATTTCTTTCGATGGCGTGCCTTCGATAGAGCATCAACCCTAAACACCATTCGGAAGGTGTTTATAGTTGATACCCTTCTGAATGGGGTATTTATTTATCTACCATTAAAAGCATGAATAAAATTGTTACTGTTTTCGCTGACAGTATCCACAGGTTCAGTTTGTAGTTATGTGCCATGTGTTGACCAATGAAATCAAAACTGCGTTGAAATCGCATTGTTTCTGCGCTCAAAGCGAAAACTGGGCAGTAACAGTGCGCCAGAAGCGCTGTAGCTACGCTGGGAGCGAATAAGTACAGTACCAGTGCGTGATCAACTCAAAACCCAATTTCGGCCCTTGACGGGTCTTTTTGTTCACACCACATCCAAGAATGTTCAGTCTGGTTAGTAACGGTTCAAAATGGTAGATCAAAAGAACCGCTCTTGATTGTACAAGATCGCACTCAACCGCGGGAACTGAACAAATAGTGAACTTCTGCGGCCCTCCTAACAGCCCGCCCTAGCGTCCTAGCGGCGGTCATCAAACCCCGTCCTTACAGTTGTAATAGCCAAGCCAGCTATGGTGTATGCTCCGTATGGTGGAAGAAACTTATTTTAATTCAATCACTGCAGTCCTCGGCACGGACTCTGGTGGAGCCGTGTACAGTCTGCCAAGGTGTAGCACACCTTGGCATGGCGAATCCGCCTTTTCAGTCAGGCAGTTCTAGGGGTGGGGACAAATCACAGAGCCAATCGCTCCCAGCCTTTCTGCTGGCTACCCTGGTTCCAGTCTGTCCAATGGCAGCATTACCGCACGGATACCCTACCTAAGCTGATTCTGAAAATTATTTCACATCGACAGCTTTTGCGTTCTACTGTATATTTTTTTACGCACGAATCATAAAACGGCCTTTTCTGCCACTGACGCTATGATGAATACGTTATGCTCACGCTGACATTTTCTCCTAGGCTTAGGGCGGTCTCGCATCGTTCGCACTGTTAGCCCCATACATTCTACTTCCACCGCGCGGTTTCCATAACGGCGATCAAATCAAATCAGGTCCTAGGTCATCCATTGTATGAGTCGACGATATGACCAGACAGACTGTCTCCTCTCCGCTGTTTCGCGGCGTGAGAGGATACCGATGACTGAAAGAATCCGTTCGGCATTCCACCGGCCACCCTCGAGTTCTCTCCGAAGCGACGCAACGTAGTACATACAGGCCCAGCCATTCGTGCATTCTTGTTAAAAAAAGCTCCTACCAGCTCCGAACACTTGGCAAGCGCAGACTCGCTACTGAACTTCCCTCCCCACGCAGTTCCTTACTAGAGGTTATCGTTTTCCTGACCGTCGTCGAGCCGAGTCAGTGGCTCTCTACAACCCGTTAGAGACCTTTCTCAGAATACTACCTACTAGGTAGGCTCTGCTGTTACCACCTGACATTGAATCCGCAAGGCGTGCTCAAGGGTCAACGTAACTCCAAGTTTTCTCGCCTACACAACTACTTCTTTCGAAGAGCTGACCAGAATGCTCGCAGTCGGGTCATCATCTCGCCGCTACCGTGCGTGCAGCTCGTCGTCCCAGCCTGCAGTCCAAATCGACGGCCTGGATCCGTCGGAAGGACTGAATCCGATGGTCGTGATGGCGCGTTACGCCGGCGAGTCGGGCATGCGGCCTTTTCTGTCAATGGATGGTGATGCGGCGTCAGCAGTAAGCGGCGACGCAGTGGGCGACACCATCGACGACGCAGTGAGCGACGCTGGCGAGGAAACGTTTCTCTTCCCCACGCCTCCGCGCAGCCCACGCGAAGGCTCCAGCGCGGCGCTCGGATTCCGCCACCGCCGCCGCTGCAACTCGTTCAGCGGAGCTCAAGAGCTTCCGAGGAGGTGCGGAGTCGGTGGCGCTCCGGAGTCCCTGGATGGTGCTACTAACGGGGATATTGCCTATCATGGAGCTACTAACGGGGGTATCGGTTATCATGGAGCTACTAACAGGGTGTTTCGTTATCCTGGTGGTGAAGGTATCACACGCAGTGCAGAAGAACGTTGTGACCTACCACGCCTACCCCGCCCGTCTGCAACGCATTATTCTGCACCTCCCGCGGCTGCCATCGCCGTTACTGCAGCTGCCGACTCTGCTGCTGTTGCTGCTGGTGCCACGTCACCGCTACCTGCCGAAACAATGGGGCGGCCGGATCAGATCTACGGCTCTAAATCCAACGCCATGTGGCCTCGCAGTCAGAGCCACTCCGCAGTAGTGGGGCGACGAGATTCGAGTGATGGCTCTGATACCATGGGGGGACAGCGCCTGGGCCGGCACCGGCGCATACGGTCAGTGGAAGCAATCATGGAGGCTTCTGGAGTGGCGGGGCAGGCCACAACAACAGTGCCTCCCTTTTCGCCCTTCCCACGAGCATACCTGGCAGTACAGTCACCGCACGGGTTAAGTAGAGAGTCCTCCGTGGAAAAGCAGTCACAGTCTCCCCGTGTGGCAGCGCCATGCTCTCTGAAGGCTCCACACACTGGCCCTGCCTTCCCTGCCTCCTTATCACCGACATCACCCCTCTCTCCTCCTCCCTTGTCGTCTCCTCCCTTGTTTCCTCCCGTGTCTCCTCCTCCCTTGTCTCCTCCCTTGTCTCCTCCTCCCTTGTCTCCCCCACCACGGTCCCTGCTGTCATCCTCAAAGCCCATCTCTCTGCCGACACCCTCAAAACCTACCCCTCAACTGTCACGTTCCAAACCTGTCACCGGCCGCTCAGCTTCGGGTTTTGAGGCGCCTCAAAAGTCGCTGCCGCCACCTTCAAAACCTACCCCTCTACTGTCACGATCCAAACCTGTCACGGGCCGCACAGCTTCTGGTCTTTCTTCTTCGCCAGACTCCTACGCGCAGTTGAACTGCAATGCTACTTCCTCCACTCTCCCCACTAGGGCAACAGTACAAGGAGCAGCAGCAGTGGTCGCATGCAGAAATGGGGATTTCAAAGACATTCGTGTGCAGGCAGCAGGCAGCAGTAGGGTTACAAGAAGCACCAATGGCAATGGCAAGAGCGTGGCACCAGGATCGCCAAGTCAGAAGGTCTCTGTTTCTGGTTGCAACACATGTAATGCAAGCAGGTCCTCTTCGCCGCAGTTGCCCAAGAACGAACGGCGTGTGTGCTTTAACAACATGGTGAAAGTCCGTACCTTCTTTGACAGCAAGTAGCCGCTCAGCGGGGCTATTTTTCACCACTCTGATTTTCAGAGTTGTATGGCGTCCTGACTCCTCCCCTTGATGATCAAAGATACTGTTTCTGTTATGCTGTTAGGACTTGGAATCAGAGTGATGCATCCACTCGTTCAATAAAGCACAGACCCCGACGTGGATGCATCAAAAGCCGCGACTGACATGCAGGCAGCCGTTGCCTCGGGGACAGTTCTCTGCTCCACACCTCCGCGCAACCAGCGCGAAGGTTCCAGCGCGGCGCTCGGGTTACGCCACTTCCACCGAAATTAGTTCAGCGAGTTTCTGGATCTTCCTGGGGGGTCAGCTGGAGTCTTTGACAGAGTACATGGATGGTTATAATTGCCGGGCTGAATAAAGCCCCCCGGATCGTTTAGATACTAGACTGTATGAATATATTGCAGCAGAAGTGTGAATTCCACCAACTGTTAAACTGAGAACAAATTTTAAATGATATGATGAAATACAAAGAAATATATCTAGAGAAGTACACATTCTGTAGTGTATGTATGTTATGAGTTGTAATGGAGAGTGCGCGGAATAACGAATAACGAAGCTGTGACTTAATGAACTGTCGATTACAATGAAGGCACGCGACTATATAGTGCATACCCTAGCTCGGAGGAAACCTCGGGAAACGAGGTTGGGTGCAGGTTTGGCGACGGAAAGCCGAAGGCGACGCGGAGGAGCATCGGCATCGTTGATGTCGGCCGAACGTGCGAAGTCCGAAAATCGGGGTTGTACGCGTAGCAGTCAACCCCGGTAAGGATAAAGGAAAAATCCTTACACTACCCCCCCCTTTAAGCAAGGTGGTCAATATCCGCAACTCGCTTGCGGGCGAAATAATCACCAAGAAGCGGGGAAGCTTCAAGCGATGCGGATGGCACCCACGTGTCGTCCTCACTGGTGTGGTCAGTCCATCGGACTAGAAAGTCCACGTGGCGTCCCGTGGCGTTGAGCCGGATCCGATGTCCGAGAATCTTTGAGGGGTCGGTGGTCGGTTCCGGGACAGGTCGAGCTGTCGGGGCGGCGTTCTGGCGCGCAATGTCTGTCGTGGCAGGCACGAAGTTGCGAAGGAGGCTGACATGGAAGGCGTCATGTATACGCCAGTCGTCGGGTAGTAGCAGCTTCGCAGTGACAGGTGTCACCATCTGGATGATGCAGAAAGACCCACAAAATCGTGGCCGTAGTTTGTGTCAGAATGTGATGTTTGTCTAGCCTGCAGTGGGGTACTCTATAGCGAGTACAACCCAAATTAGGGTTTGCTATATGTACTCAACTGCCTGCTAGTGAAAATCCTTCTTTCCTGTTTCTGATTCTTGCCTAGTATTCTAACATGCTATCAGAGCAGGTCGACCCCCCCGGGTCGATCCTGTGGATGGGCCCACCGTTAGCTTCCGCTGCTGTCCTGCCTATCGCGCGCCTCGGGCGCGCTTCGTTTTCTGCCTGCCGCGCGCTCGGGGCGTGCGGCGTTTTTTCTTCCCGCCGCGCGCTCGGGGCGCGCGGCGGTTTTCTGCCCTGCCCGCCGCGCACCCCGGGAGCGCGCGGCGGTTTCCTGCCCCGTTGACCCGCGCGTCGCCCCCCGTCGCCCGTCGCCGCGCCCCTGGAGACCCGCGCGTCGCCCCCCGTCGCCCGACACGGCTCGCGCGACCTGCGCCAGGCCCGCGCGCGGCCCGTACAGCCCGCGCGCGGCCCGTACGGGCTGCGCCAGGCCCGCGCGCGTCCCATACGGCCTGCGCCAGGCCTGCGCGCGGCTCGTACGGTCTGCGCCAGGCCCGCGCGCGGCCCGTACAGCCCGCGCGCGGTTCGTACGGCCCGCGCCAGGCCCGTGCGCGGCCCGTCCAGCTGCTGCCCGAGCCGCGCGCCGTCCCCCCAGCTGCTGCCCGCGCACCGCCCCCCGCTGCTGCCTGTGTTAGGGTTTGGGGATGGCGAGTGTGGGGGTGGCGAGTTTGGGGGTGACAGGTGTGTGCGCCGTCCCCTGCTCCTCCTCCTCCTCCGTCTCCCACTGCTGCAGCTGCCGCTGAGGGGGGTGGATGTGTTGGAGCCGTCGGAGTGATACGAGGGGGGTGGCGTGTGAGCAGTGCTAGGGGTACAGCAGGGAGTGTGTGAAAGGGGTGTGGGACAGTTCGGGGAGGTTGACCGGAGGTAGCCGACTTGTCGTCCGCAGCGCCTGAAGTCCAGAGAGCCACGACCCCCTGTGGCCGTGTAGTCCGGGGCTCTGCGCCCGGTAGCCACAGTGTGAGCACTCTTGGTAGTCCAGAGAGCCACGACCCCCTGTGGCCGTGTAGTCCGGGGCTTTGCGCCCGGTAGCCACAGTGTGAGCACTCCTGGGAGCACAGAGAGCCAGCTGCGCCTGTCGCCGTGTAGTCCGGGGCTCTGCGCCTGGTAGCGTCAGTGCTGCGCACTCCTGTTGCCCGTGTGTCTGCAGCTTCAGCCGTCGCCTCCCATCTTCTCGCCCCCCACAGTTTCTCCTCCTCCTCACTTGCCCTCTGTGATAGCCTCTAGCTTTGCTTATCCTTGTGGACTATTGCTCTGCCTGCTTGTTGTGTTGATTGTACCCCACTTTGACTATGGGGGTGTGTCAGAATGTGATGTTTGTCTAGCCTGCAGTGGGGTACTCTATAGCGAGTACAGCCCAAATTAGGGTTTGCTATATGTACTCAACTGCCTGCTAGTGAAAACCCTTCTTTCCTGTTTCTGATTCTTGCCTAGTATTCTAACAGTTTGTTCGAGCCGGGCAGGCGTAGGTTTTTCGTGTCGAGTAGCACTAGTTGCCCAGGCGTCATGACGATTTCTCGTCGTAGAAGATCCGAGTATTCCCGGGCAGTAATATTCGCCTTGCGAATAGCGTCGACTGCTTTCTCGCGGATCTCTTGAAGTTCTGTCACAAATGTTTGTGACCGTGGGACCGGGTTGTCGAGTGTCGTGGTGGTTGGCACCACCGGGTCCATCCCATAATTCAGGAAGAACGGGGAGTGATTAGTCGTGCTAGACGGTACGTTGTTGAACGCGAACTCCAGCATGGCGAGTGACATTTCCCAGCGAGTTGGGTCGGGGCAGTTGGTCCTGATCAGCTGCTCCATCGTCTGATTGGTTCGCTCGGTTTGTCCGTCCGTTTGTGGATGATATGCTGATGAGAACTGTAGCTTTGTGCCGTACTGCGCCCACGTCTCCTTCCAAAATCTTGAAGTGAACTTCGGATCCCTGTCGCTGACGATTGCCGACGGGATTCCGTGTAGTCGCACGACGGTTGATATGAAGAGGCGCGCAGTTTCTTCGGCTGTGATTGTTGTACGACACGGTGCGAAGTGTGCCATCTTCGTGAAGCGATCGACGACGACGAGTACCGCGTCGTTCCCGGATGGCCCAGCTGGCAGCCCTGTGACGAAGTCCATTGTCACCTGTTGCCATGGTCGCTCGGGTGGCTCCAGTGGTTGCAGCAATCCAGCTGGCCGCTGTCGTGTCGATTTCATGGCTTGGCACACCCTGCATGAGGACACATATCGATCCACGTCGTTAGAGGAATCAGGCCAGTAATATTGACGGTGCAACAGTTTCTGGGTTTTATCAACCCCGAAATGTCCGGAGAGGTTTGAATCGTGGACCTCTTGGATAAGGAGTTCACGCAGCAGCCGGTAAGCGGGAACCCAAATCCGGTCAGTTCCGGCCTTTAGGTAATAGTTCCCCTTTTGCGTCGTTGCCTGCTGGTTTTCCAGTCGTGAAGTACGGGTCCGTAGTGTAGCCGTGGGTGAATAGTCCCGTAAGTAGTGGGTTCGAGTGGGTGATGAGTACTGCAGCGGATTGAACTGTTGGTCGGGTAAGGGCGTCGGCGATGTTATTCGCCCCTTTCTTGTACGTGATGCGGTAGGTGAAGTGGCTCTCCATGTATTCGAGCCAACAAACCTGTCGTGGGTTGAGGTTGGGTTGAGCTCGCAGGTACTGTAGGGACTTGTGGTCCGTGCGAACAGTGACGTCGGCGCCCACCAAGTAGCAGCGCCATAGTTTGAACGCATGTATAATTGCGAGCATCTCCTTGTCGTGTATCGGGTAGTTGCGCTCGGCAGACTGCAGCTTGCGTGATTCGTAGGCAATCGGCTGCAGCCCGTCTCCGAAATCCTGGAGGAGTACAACTCCGATGGCGAAATCTGAGGCGTCGGTGATGACTTCGAACGGCTTCGATGGATCGGCGATGCGTAGAACCGGAGGGGATACTAGAAAATTCTTCAGTTCCTGAAAAGCCGCCTCTGCTTCCTCCCCCCACACAAAGTTGATATCCTTGTGTAGCAGGTCGGTTAGCGGGCCGGTTATCCCCGCCATATTCGGGATAAACCTCCTGACATAATTCACGAACCCCAGAAAACTCCGAAGTTCCGTGATGTTAGTCGGGGACTTCCACTCCTGTATAGCCTTGATTTTCGCCGGGTCGATTTTTATGCCGTCGCGGGAGATGACGTGTCCCAAAAACTCCAACTCTTGCTTAAAAAACTCGCACTTAGAGCCTTTGGTGATGAGGCGGTTCTCCTGTAGTCGCTGAAAAATCGCGTCGAGGTCG